AGACTGTATGCATCAGTTAAATTTTGAAAAAGTATTTAAATCTTCTATGCACACATTTTTCTTTTGATCTTTTAAACTTTAATATTTCTTCTTCCCATTAAAATTCCTTTTTAACCGTGTTACTTCTTTAAATGTATTACATTTAACAAAATGATTATTTAGAAAAACATTATTATCGAATATAATTGTGAAATAAAAATCAATGAATACCCATAAACATTCTTATATATCGTGTTTGAAAAATTATTATATAGAAATAATATATATATTTTAGATATTTAGATATAATTATATATAATTAGAATAATTAAATCACACATACAATATATTCGATTAAATTCTGTTAATATGATATACATTATATTTATTCCTTTTTTTTTTTCTATTCGTGCATACATTACGATTGTAATTTCGAAATATCGGACTAGGCAATATTCACTCTTATTACATTTCTGACTGCTGTAGGAATTACCGGATTAAAAACGGGGAACCCTTTAGAAAGAGAAAGAAAGAAGAAAAGAAAGATATATATATAGAGAAAGAGAGAGAAAGAAAAAGAAAGGAGAAAACGGATCTAAGAAATAAATGATTCTATTTCCCAAGAGAGGAAGCGAAGTGAAGGATGCTCCGTTACTGTACCCTACAGGAATCCATGTATTCTTCGAGTATGTTCTTTATTTCACTTTCGTAGTATACCGTACGGATATTGCTTCTATTAGAAACAATTTTACCCCCTGGCATGAGATCCTTGATATAAAAGTTAGACGTCCGCCGTACTTTTGGCTTGTACGATCCTTATCTAGAAAAATTTTTCCAGAAAGGTAAGGTAAAGTAAAGTAAGATAAGATAAGATAAAGGTAAAATCTTTTTATCGCATGAGAATTCAACGTTATCGTCGAATGAAATTTTGTCTTTTTATTTTTAATTATTTTTTTTCACCCCCACCGACCCTCGAGCGAAAAAAAAATAAAAAGGAGAAAGAAAAGAAAGAGAAAAAGATGAAAAAACAATGAATTCCTCTTCGTCAATTCCGAAGTATTCCTAACGAATCTCGATTGAAACGATTTCATGGTGTCGAAACGGACGAACACAAAAATCCTCTTAGAACGTTTAATTACATTTGAAATTAAAACGCCCAACTTACCTCTCGTGTACCATCATTAACTCCGATTTTCATCGTTGCAATCAATTACGACGACAACGAAGAGGAGGAGGAGGTGGTGGAGGTATGGGAAGGAAAATAAAGGTGGTATAAAATATTGATAATCGAATTTACGTTAACTCCGTGTTGCAATTTTTCTGCATATTACGAGAAGAAGAAAAAAGTAAACCCGTAAATAGAATTTTCTCGTATGAATTATAATGAAAATATAATATATAACGTTCATAAACAATGAGTCAGAGGTATTCATCGAAATGTTTATATTATCATTACTGTTACTCTAACGTATTCTCGTTGATTCAAACAATGCTATCCGTTCCTGCATTTAATTATGCCGGCGAATATTTGCTATTATTGTTATTCCTTGCATAAGTTTAACGCATATCGATAATATTTTAATTCTTCCTTTCATTCCAAATATTTTCAATTTTCAAATATTAGCGTAAAGCACGGATTTTTTTTTTGTTAGATAAAATATTTCCCAAATGATTATATGTTTGATTGGTATGAAAAATATGTTTATTGAAAATGCAAATATCCGCACGTCTGTTGTCGGAATGTTAATTGATAGAAAAAACACTAGAGCAAGGGTGTTATTTTAAACCGTGTTTATAAAATGAGAGAGAGAGAGAGAGAGAGAGAGAAAAAAAAGAAGGAAAAAAGGAAATAAGAAGGAAAATGAAAGAGAAATAAAAGGGGGAAAAAAAATTAAGCGGAAACAAAAAAAAATAAAGCGGAATAAAAGATGCAACTTCGTTGAATATAACGAAAGAGAGGAAGTGCTCTAATTTATTTTTCCTGATAAAGAACAAAAGCCATACAAGTGTGTGACCAGGCGTATAAAACGATTTTATATGCATAAAGTTTTGAATATTTCTTTCAAAAATATTCATACTTTTTTAAACTCTCTGTTAGCCTAAAGTAAAAGAATAACATCTATACACATACACAAACCACACATATTTTCATAAAATAATCGCGATAGGTAGAATATTTATATTCTATTGTAATGTATTATGCAACGTGTGTAACGTAGAAATAATAATAAAAAATTACGAGAAAATTTTCTGAAGATTTCTATGAATGTTACTGGCCTCGCTTATCGCGTGCTATTTTTTTTTTGCAATGGAGTTATAAATACACATTCAATTTATATATATAAATATATATTCACGTATGAGTAAACATAAACATCGTCAATTAGATTGACGCATCAATGTGTCATTCAGTGGCTGATATTCTCGGCAAGTGATTAGTCGTCAGGAAAAAAAAATTGGTTTAGTAATATTTAAAACACCGACGTCCAGGGAAATCACCTTTTATGAAAAATACTTCATACCGATATTTAAATCTATTTATCTCATTGTCAGAATCGCTGATTTAACTAACATAGAATATCGTGTCAAGGCAAAGTTCGAATAGCAAAGAAAAAAATTTCATTCTATTTGCTGAGTAATTTAACATAAGAAATGTATAATCAAATATAAGTAATATTTTCAGATGTTTAATTTTCGATAAAACGATTCTAATCGATTCATTTGAAAAGAATGAAATTTATTAATTAATTTATCGATATTACGCGCGAGGAATGGATGATTCTCGTAAAATATAATTTATCAATATATCATTTTTCAATACTTTTTTTCTATCCTGTTTCCGGTTAATTTATCTTAACGAACGGTCAAATGAATTTAATCAATGAATCGGAAAAAATCAAATTTATAAATGATTTATCGATAAATGCTAGAGAATTTCCTCAAAAGATTAGGAGATAATTTTTTCGATATTTCCTATAATTATATTTCAATGGAATTACTTTCCTTCCTCTTGAAATTCTTGCGTAAATTCACTTTCTGTTATAGACGTATATCATAAATATAAAACAGATAAATTAGCATATCTATATATACACATGTAAATAAAAACGATTATTTAATTTAAAAAATGTTCTTTCATTAAATTATGCGAACTAAAGTCAAGAAATGGATAAAAACAGGTTTCGTAAATTCATTCACAATTGTAGACATATATTATAAATATAAAAAAAATAAATCGGCATATATCTATATATACACATATATATGATAATGATTATTTAATTTGAAAAGTATTCTTACATTAATTATGCGAACTAAAGTCTAGAAATGGATAAAAACAGGTTTCCTAAATTCATTCACAATTATAATATTATATATATTTAATATATATATTATATATTATATATATTAGCCAACGGGTATGGCGCGGTGACAACACAAGTTCCTGCTTCGATCATTTAAGTCAAGCAGCGCTTGAGTACGATTAGAATTTGGATAGGTGACCGGTTTGAGAAGAAAAGTTTGAAATTGCATTGCCAGCGCATTGTAAATATCGACGGACAACTTCGTGGTGTCGATTTTTCGGTCGCATCTAACTTCACTTTCCAAAACGCGCCAAAAGAAGTATAACTTTAAAAATAATATATTATATATATTTA